ATGGGGCCAGTGGCCGCCTCCTCCCACTGCAGTGCACTCCACTTTCCTGCCCTCCTGGCTGCCTCCCCCGACTCCATCTCATTAACTCTGTATCCCTCCCGCCCCCTCTCCCTCCACCTCGTTAGCTCCATATCCCCATCTGCCCCTTCTCCCTGCACCTTGGCCGCAGCTCCTTCTTGCCGTTCTGGATGACAGCTCCCTTCCTGCAGCCCCTAGGGTGGGTTTGGCTGGGTTTTGGGGGCCACTCTGCACCCCTGGCAGGCACCAGCATCATCCTGGGGATGGCAGTCACCTACCCCATCCATCCAACCCCCGCAGCACATGCCAGGGGGGGAACTGCCCTGCGGTGGTCAAAAGGAAGGGGCAGGTTGTGGCTGTTGTCTGCTGGGCAGAGCAGGGACCACCAGCCCTGTGCCCAGGCATGTGCCACCTGTGGGGTGCCCGGAGGAGCCTGTGCCCAGGGCAGGAGAGACATCTCACTTTGATTCCTCTCAGCCTCCAGCCTGGAAACCCTCTTACCTTCTACTTCATGTCATACCAGCACAGAAACGAGCCCTGCTCCATCCTTTCCTCTCCAGGGTGCTGGGCTCCTCAGGCTCCAGAGAAAACACACCCCAAAACCTCCCGTTTGGCAGTTTCCCAGGTCAGCAAAGGAGCCACACCAGGGGCTTGCTGCAGAAGAGCACACCAAAATGGCAAATCTGGAAGCATGTTTTTTTACAAACCCAAAAGCTGAAGCCTGTTGGTACAGTATGTATTTGGAAGGGTTAAAGTCACATCTTCCAGTCTTTAATTACTTAACTGTTCAATGCTTTCCTTAATGATAAACAGATGGATGTAGTCTAGTTCCTTCCTGTTCTAGCTCCATTGATTGCATTGGACTAGCTGCTGGGCTGAATTTGGCCCCGGCTGTTTATCAAGAAGTCTGCTCCGCATTTCAATCTCTCTGTCCACCCACCTCCATCCCCAAGAGCATGTGGCACCAGCAGCACCGTAAGGTACGAGCTGCAGCACTAGGTCCCACTCACCACCGGGGCCAGGGCTCAGCTCTGTTGCCTGCAGCTTGTGCGGAGCCCAGCACCCCCAGCT